TTTTGTTCCTTGATATAGAAGCGGAAGCACCAGGTGCTACAATGGCACCCGCCTGGGGAACGAGGCAGCACATAGCTGCAGAGAAAACCCAGCGGGATCAGAATCAGGAAATTAAACAGCCCAATACAAGAAGCTTATTCTGCACATTTAAAAAACAAAACAAAACACTGAACGACTGCAGGTTACCGGGAAACAAATGGCACTTTGTATACTTCCAGAAAGGTCATTTGCTATCCAGAGAGCTGTAATCTTCCAGTTTATAGAATTATATCAGCCAGCCAGCCAAGTGGGTTAATGAAAAGAAAAAAAAAAACCCCATTAAGCAATATTTGCATGTGGAATGGCCACATTAACATCACCAAAATGAGATTTTGGGAAATCTACAGCCCTTTCTGTGAAAAAATGCGTACGAGTTATGGTGCCTCCAGGTCTCTAACTGCCAGGCACACGGGTTCAGATTTGAATATTGTTCCCTATGCATGGCTACTGCTTTTTCTTCCGTTTGTCATAAATGAGTTGTCACCGAAAAAGGGAGAAAAAAAAATGCAGTCTCCCTGATCTCATGATTTTCCTGATCCAGTCCAGTATGTGCTGAGCGGATCGGCTGCAGGTATGTAAAGGTGACAGATAAATTAAAATGTTTAGTACTTTTCGAAAGGAAATTAAATATATCAAAGTAAAATGAAAATCACTAAAATCTTATATGACAACTATGATAGATTGATATCATTTCACATGTTATTTATGTTTGTTTTTTAAAGATGCAGCTTTATTAAAAAATAAGAACTTGTTATCCTGTCATGAAGGTCCTTGTTCCTAAGATGGGGTGTCAAAGGTCAGTCCCCATTTCTCAAATGCTCTCACCCTGTCACATGTACTTCCAGTGCACACTATAAGTAGCCATGACAACGCTCCTGGCGCAGGCAAGTCCTCAGGAGCGTTGGCATGGCAGTTGTTGTCACCATCAGCAAGCCCGTTCTAAATAGTAAAATGCAGCTGCCACTGGAGTGCATGCATGTAAACAAAAAGTGTTTATAAAGAGTTTGGGGGCAGATCAGCTGCACTGAGATGTTAAAAAAAAGAAGAAGGTGAAAACAAGTAGATGAAAGAAAGGTGAAAATAGTTAATATTTTTTTAATAAAAATAACTGGATTTATCAAAATTGGAGCAGACAGAATCTGGAGCCGTTGCCCATGGCAACCAATCAGCTTCTCTCCATCTTGCCCAGGGAAGATTTGAAAAGGAGAGAGAAGCTGATTGGTTGTGTGCAAATCAGCTCCAGATTTTGTCTGCTCCAGTTTTAATAAATTTCCCCCATAGTGCTTTGAAAATCTTATCCAATTAGGGCTCATATTTTAAATTCCGATATTTATTTATGAAAATCATGAAAATTGCACAAATATTTATAGGATCGATATACATTTTTTTTAAAGTGACACTAAACTCAGGAGTTAAATCTTAAAAATGCCTTTAAGTCCCTTAACTATTAATACAAATGTCTCTTATTTGTGTATCACTCGGCTGTAGATCCTCCAATCATCTCTGAATTGGTGCTGACACTGTCCTTCCTTCTGGAGAGTGGCTACTTTTGTTTCCCCCATGGTCCCAAAGTAGTCACCGCTCCAAGCTCACTCCTGTGATGGACTACAATCTCACAATTGGTTTACTAATTTGTATTGAGAATGTAGTCCATCAGGGAAGTGAGCTGTACAAAGAAAACAACCTCTGATGTGTTTCTGCCTTACTTGGCCTTAGTCATAGCTAAGGCCGAGTAAGGAAGAAACGGGTCAGCGGTTACAGGTACATGTAGAATTTTGATTTGCTTTGGAAGAGCATCGTGTGTCGGTTTTACAGGTTTTTTTTAATACTTCTGATGCATGTGTTTGAAATGATTGTAACCACCAGCAAATGTTAGGTGGAAGTCACAGTCCCTGCTTTATAAATATGCAAGTGTCCTTATAGTTCTAAGCACCCGATCATTTTTCCAGCTTCCTCCTGGATGTACTAACAATATCAGCATGTCTTTCCAGCCTCGGGCAGTGCGTTAAAGTTCAGCCCTGGGCAGCAACTACAAGCCCATAGTGGCGTTTGCCTGAGACAGCATCAGTCGCCCGAAAGGGTTAAGGCAGGTGCTTTGGGGACGAGCCAGTTTTGGAAGGTGCTGAAACTTCAATAAAGGAAACGAAAGTGATGTGTCTGACAATGCATTGTGACAACACTATACTGGAACTTTTCATACAATAAAATATGTGCATATTTAACTGGGACATGGAGCAGCCCTCAGGCGAGAGCCGTTCGCACGGCTCCCTGGGGTTCTCAAGTGGCTGTCGTAATAAAGAATAATGTACCCGGGCTATTTATAGAAGCTTAGACCTGCTGTAAAATATTTAGTTCATCCACAAATCACTTCCATATTCTGCAGTGTTTGTGGTAGCAGCAGCTGGGGGCACAGCCATCTGGGACGCTTCAACATGTACCCAACTAAACGCTGTGTACAGAGATCAGCAAGGCATGATGGGACAGGTAGTTAACCCGATAAATGGCGTTCCACAGGGTATAAGGCAAGTTTAAAAAGCATCACTCCCAACAGGATATCTATAAAGGAGAACTCTAGGCAGATATAAAACAAAAATGCGTCAAGCCGACTGGTGTTCTTTTTAAACGATGCGGCTGACATATGAATGGCAAAAGGTAGCATTTGACAAGAGAAGGCTGTTTGACAATGCACCTCAATAGGACACGCTGCATCCAAAAACAAAAACGCAAAGTAGGTCAAACGCAGCCACTGAACTGTGGAGATGAATTCAATGGGATTTTGTTGACCTGCATTTGTTGTGTGTTCCAAACGCATGTCAAACTTGAGAAAGCAATGCCGATTGGCATGAGTGCCAATGCAGTTCTGTATTAATTTCTCCATTAAAAAAGTAGCCCAGAATAGGTTAAATTTTTTAAAAAAAGAGAAGCCTTGACGAGGCAGTATGGCTTTCGTGTATATTTGCAAATGAATGCAACAAAAACCTCCACTTTTACTGCACATTGATCAGGCAGTGTAGATGTTTTGTCAGCTAGATGGGATGAGTGCTGGGAAGTTTTTGTACTGTGTTTACCCTGAAGAAAGCCCTTTGCCTGTGCACCTTACTTTAAAAAGCCAGTTATAAACCGATTGGAGTGCTGCCATTTTTGTTTTGCTTGCTGGAGTTGGTGCAGCCACACGCTGGGGGTCTTCAGCTGCCATTGTGCTGTTCTAGGCTTCGGTTGTGTCTCTGTACCTTTAAGGAGAAATGGGCTACGTCCAGGCATACCTGCTATATATGAGATGGGAGCGCTCTCTTAGATTAGATTAAGAGCCCACTCGTCATAGAGAGCTTTGGAGGAGGCAGTGTGGCTTCCACGTATATTTGCAAATATAGGGATTGAATGTAGTTACCACAAATTGCAGATACAACAAAGAATTTTTGGGGTTTTTTTGCTGGCTGGTATGAGTGCTGGGAAATTTTATTGCCCATAACTTGTATTTCACATAGACTGTGTTTGTTCTGTTAAAGCAAAAAAGAGCAACTTTAATTGAAGTGCAATCCTCACCTCCTCCATGCAGTCATTTCTTTCCACCAATAGATGTCCTCAGGCTTCTGGATTGAATGATACTGGAAAGAAGACGAAAGGACATTGACCCGCCCTTTGTGGCGTTGTCACCACAGGGCCCTGTACTGACATACAATGATGCAGAAAACAACACTGATGTCATAACGTCAGTGCCACCCACTGCCCAACTTCTTATTGTGCATGTGTGATAAGCAATTATTTCTTCTCAAAGAAGCCTCTAGCCATCCAGCGCACTGCGGCTCATCCATAGGAATAAATAGGATTGTGGAACGTACTTACAGTAAGAGGACACCGGTAAGGAAGCTACAAGTGTGTGTGTGTCACCGGACAGTGAATACCGCTGGAATGGGGAGGAAGGCAAGTATTACAAAGCACGCTGCACTGTTGTGTAATAGCAGGTATTAACTAAAGGACAGTTAACCTTCGAACTGATTCTTACATTTTACACTTTGTCTAATGCCCTGGAGAGCATTTCAGAGTCCAGAAAACTGGCACGCTCTGCTATGCAAAAGGCAACCAGGCTCTGTGGTCCTTGGGTCTGATCCATTCCACACCTAACTACTGGCCCATCACTGTGCTGGATGGCCTCACTTACCAATAGGGAAGCATGGGCAGAGAAATAATGCAATGAAGCTGGTTGAGATTTAAAAAACAAGGCACCCCAGTTTTCGGCCTTCTATGGGGCACTTGCAGAACATCGTCATTGCAGTGTAGGCACCTGGAGATGCCTGTTTTTCAACCTAAGTAGCAATATAAATGCTTTGATGACTTCAACGTTCTACTGCAATTACCATGCAGAATAGATGACAACATGCAATAGGGAAAACACTTCACTGTAATTTGAAACACATAATCATTAAAGTCAGATTCTCAAATACAAAAGAAACTATGGCCAGACACACAGGTGATACCGCAGCACAGAAGACAGCCAGCACAGCTGAAAAGCCTCTCAGGACTTACACAAAGCAATTCAGCGTCTGTCAGAAAGCCAGAGCCAGAGTTAGAGTGTCGCCGCCTGCGCATGCGCCTGTTGTGGACCATAGAGCTATAATAGGAGCAGCGTCCTTGCATGGACGTGCGCACGCACGTGCGCGTCATGCGCGTGTTTGTGTGCACGTGCACGCACCGACGTGTCATTTGAACAATTGGCGCCAACTGGGCTATAAAGGCTGTGTTCAGCTATCCTCCTATGCTGTCAGATCGTCAGCTTCCTGTGTTCTGTGTTCCTGTATTTTCTGTATCCTGATTAACCGTTACTGACCCGGCTTGGACTACCCTCTGTTGTTGCTTGCTCCCTGAAGACCCTGGCTTGTTTTTGACCTTGATTCTGCCTCACCCCTTGTACTACGTTGCTAGCTCGTTGATGATCTCGGCCTGCTTGACGATCCTTCTGCCTTGTGTGTTCTGCTTCCTCAGCTCATCGGATCTAAAGCCTTCTGGATCCTCTTCGGTGCATCCGCATCCTGCCCGGATCTACGCACTTCATCTCATCTCGCAGACGCAACAGGCTAACCAGCCTCTGCCACCCTTGCCCCTCTGTGCCCCGGCGCCCCTGTAACCAATCCAGGTGCTCCGGGACCGGAGCTGTGAGAGAGGCTGCGCTCGTCAACTCAGACTCCCCTAAGGTACTTGACAGCGTCAGACCACCGAGGACGATGTATCAGGTGTGCCTGCTATCTTCTGCATTGCTGGTTTAATTCATGGAGCATTCAGTTCCTTGGCTTCAGTACCCTGTATATAGGAAAAAGTCAGAAACCATATGACGTGCTGTGCGGATAGGAACTAATTTTAGTTACGCAGTTAAAACATAAATATAGGAACCGTTTAACCAGCCAAAAATCTGTCTTCGTAGTTTAGTGATAATGCTTTTTTTAGCCTGCAAACTCCATTTCACAGACTTGACTCCCAACTGCTATTTAGACTGCTGGCAGTCATCATCACACTGATGACCCCGGCTCTGATCTTACTGCATCATGTAAGCCCACCTCGGTAGATTCCCTATTGTACTCATCAGCTGCAGACACTGCTGCAAGTCTGATTTCAACTTTTGATAATACGTGGCGAGAGGAACCAGCATACAATCTTAAAAGCAGCAGGAGGGACCAGCTTGCCAAGACTGACTGCAGCAGAGCAAAAAGAGATGACAATTCAGCCTGGTAAATTTACAAGGATTACTTTAAATGGCTGCTGGGACCCTGCGCTCAATCATCAGTACCCAGTGCTTCTATGTATGCGTGAACATATGACCTTCCCTAACCTTTTTTTCTCCCAGGATGTATTGCTTGGGTCTGAGTAGTCAATTACTAGAACTGAATACTGTCATGCAGAGGAGGGGAGGAGGTCATTAACTCTGTGTAAGCTCTTACACAGACTAGCACGGAGCTTACACAGTAATTAGACTCATGGCTTTGAGGGCTTGTTCTCAACATGCCCGGACCAGATCCGGACTAGAACAGTTTTTGTCCGCACTTGAAATGCATCCCAATGTATTCCGATTATATTTCTGGGCTCTGCTAACACCAGTGCAGTCCAATCTGATGCGGGGAGAAAAAATGCTGCATGCACCAGAACGCATCAAAAACGCCCTGCATTTGCATATCTGCTCTTTGTCAGCACCCTGGGATCTCCTGTGTGTTGGCTTGTCACTCTAGGGGGCGTGGCTATCACCCATGTGACTTCATCCCGGCAGCATCCCCTTAGTGGGCGGGGCCAGCCGTCCATTGCTGCTGTATTGGAATCCTGTGCTCTGCCCTCCAGGGAGTCTCTGCAGGCTGAAGCTGCATTGCTGCTGCCGATTTGCCACCCGACTCTTCCTCTGAGCTGCGGGCACCTGTAAACAGACACAGGCTGCCCGCAGCTCAGAGGAAGATCCGGTTTCAGGCAGATGCGGCAGCGGCTGCCTTGGATCGCACTTACCAAGGACCTCGCAGCCGCATCTGCGAGAAAATTTAAAGTGCCGGTGTCAGCAGAGTGTCTTGTGTACGGGTGCCCCCTGGCTGGACACCCGTACACAAGACGCCAAACCCGGACTGTCCGGTTGAAAACCGGATGGGTGGCAACCCTAGCTCCAGATCTGGTCCGGACAGGGTGTAAACACAGCTCTTGAGGCAAAAGGAGCAGTGAGGAAGTGCCCTAAAATGGACAAATTCTCTTAAAGCGGGAGCTTTAAAAAATAAAAAAAAAGGAGGGGGTAAGGGGGCTGGAGCTTTTAGCCATAATGTGCTAGTATGCACAGCAGATCACCACATTATGGCAGAATTACCTGCCAAACTGATCCCCTCAAGTGTTAAACTCCACCCTTGCTGGTGCTTCCATCTTCCACCCGATCTTCTTCCAGGTTTCGAGTCTTCTCCCGCTTGATTGGCTGGACCCAACTGCATCACTTCCACATATACAAAAGCTGCGCATGCATGGCTCAGGGTACAGAGGAAAAAAATATGCTGAATGGCAACAAGAAGCTTTTATGGCAGAAGAGACTTACAAAGTCTCTTCTGCCATATAAAGCCTACTGATCGGCAATTTAAAAAAAAAATGTTATACATTTTCTTCCACTTCAGAGGATAACTTACCGTACCATGATTCTCATTCTATGGAAATGTGCCATTTACTTCCTTCGCTCTCAGTCTCAGGAAGCTTTTTCAACAAGTTAAAAATATACCGATGTGATAGCTAGCACCTCTGATCTCCGGAGGTGCTCGTTATCACCCACATGTACATGAGAAACACGGGATTATTACAAGCATGGTGCAACTTTTTGAGCTTGCTTTCCTATTATTAAGCCATTTACAGTCAGTCATACAGCACGGGGGAGGGGGGAGGCATACTACAAGGTGCCAGAGGCCCTATTAGCACTGAATGCCAGTACTGTTAACGAGGACTGATAAGTTGTTTCTCTCTCTTGAAACAGCAGCCACCAGGAGGTGGCATTTACATTTCACATGCGCAAAGTTGCTACACAGTGTGGTATTAACACTACACATTCAAGCTTGATAATAATCCTCATCTTATTGCACGACTGGTAAAACCAATATCTAATAATACCGAAGTTAGTGGGTCACAGCTTATAAGTAAAACTGGCAGCCAGTCTTATTACAAAGCAAAATATGGTTAAAGTGAACCTGAACTCAAAAATGAGCATTTGCTATCTTAAAGGGAACATCTAGAGATGTTAGCAGTGTCCTGAAAGTTAAAACATTTGCCCTGAATTCCCTCATAGCTGTATATCTGCAATAGTATATCTGTATGGAATATCATATATCATAGAATATCTGCAATGTGGGATCATACAAGCCGCTGCTGGGTCTGACTGCTAGTCTCACCAGATTTGGATCGAGGTTTGGCGATGCCACTACCGAGTTGCTCCCTGTTCTCCTTGCTGGAGAGGAAGCTGTGCCTGAAGACCTTCAGTGCAGGAATCTCCCTGCCTCATTCATTTTGTGCTACCTCCACCTCTCATGCTGCTTCTTGACCAACACCCCACCAGTCTATAAGGGGACAGATCTAACATAACAAAACAAAGCCCTGCCTCTTCGAAGAGGGCCCCATCCACACATGGATACTGTGCAGAACAAAGCGTTGTAAGTCAGCAATGGAAGAAAGTTCAGCTGCAGGAAGCCTACAAGAAATACCAGTGACTACTGATCTCTGTTTGCCTTTTGTGGGCATAGCTTCCTCTTTAGCAATTTAACCTTGCTTCCTTGCAACGGTACAACATCTGCAATGCACTCAAGTACCCAACACACAGCCACAGCCTCATGCAGAGTGATGAAACAGCTTAATTATGATTTAGATTCCCAATGTACACACCAGGACTGAGATCTCAGTTTTGAGAAGGCCCTGCTTTGATAAAACTCAAAAACTGCAGTAGCAAGACCTCACGAAAAATGATCATGAATTATGAAAAATCCAGCACAGAGAGAGTCAGACCCTTTTGTGATGCCCAAAAGGTGTTGGTGGAGCAAGAATAATATGCAAATCCACGGCTCTCCAACCCCAGGAACCCCGATAGTTTTAGTACCACTGCTGACCTGTCCATGTGTGAAGGTGTCTGACATAAGGTCAACAGTAATACATATAGCACATCTGTTAATGTCTAGTATGGTTTGGGGTCTCAGAACTACAATGCAGTGGATATACACGAGTTAACACAATGATGCACAGGTCAATGGAAAATTATTATACAGGATTTATAGAGCGCCAACAGTTTGCGCAGCGCTTTACAATATAAGGAAGACATTACAATCACAATACAATTCAAGACAAGATGGTTAGGAGGGCCCTGCCCCTGAGGGATTACAATCTAAAAGAGAGGGACAAGGGAAAGATCTACGTACAGCTCAGCGTACATCTAAAAGAGTTTTAAAGGATGCAACAAAATGGCAGTCTTATTCAATAAACCGAAGAAGGGACAAACGTAAAGTGCAGAAGCCCATAGCAACTAATCTGAATTAACAGAGACAGACCAGACAAGATGGGTTGCTATGGATACTACAATTTGCTCCCTTGAAGGAGCTTTCATCTGATCATTCACAATGCATCAAACCTAAAAAGCGGCAGAGGACTGCTAGGCTGACTCATATATCCAGACTTAAGTGCTCCAATCAGTTAGAGGTTTTGAAACCCCATAAAACACACATTTTGGGTTTGTTTTGTTTTTTTTACACAGAAATGGCCTTGTAGTTTTTCCAAAATGACCGTAGCCTTACATTAGGTCTTCAGTTACATACAAATACAGCTTAGTGAAATTCTTACTTACGCAGCACTTACATTGTATCTGTAACTCACCATCCAGTGTTCCCCAGAGCTATAGACACAGAGCTCAGAAGGAGATTGCACTTGGACTCGCTTATGACGGCGTCGTTAGCCGCTGGAGATATGACTACGAATTCGCGGAGACCGTACCTGGAAAAGATGCATAATCCTAATTAACGAGAGGCTCGGCATCGCTCCTTAGTCTACAGAGGCAGCCCTGCGGCCAGGTAGCTTCATTAATCATCCTGGCCCAGATTTCTAGAACACACGAGCTGGGACGTGACGCTTTTTTCACTGGGCATGATTGTGTCACTTCAGCAGCATATTTCATAAATAGCAATAGACAACACTTCTCTGTCAGAGCTGTGACAACACGTGCTTGGCCTACATTGCGAGGAACATGTATGTATGTGTATATGTATACACACCACAACATGGATATTGTCAAAAATTTTATTTATTTTGAGCTGGACTCCAGGCAGCTATAAAAGTACACATATTAAAAGGACAATTTCACAAATTATGAAATTAAACACCCAGCTTCCCTCCTTGGTCCCATCAATACCCCCTCCACAGGTCTTTACTTACCTCCGATGGCTGCGGCCTTCCACACTGTCTGCAGGCTGGTCAATATAAGTCTAGTGCCAGGCTGCCCGTGCCTGCATACTTACATTGTATAGACTTCAATGGCATGTACATGGGCTGTACATGCCATTGGAGCCGTTGCATGAGCAGCTTCCCTTTAAATACATGGGACATCAGTGCACAGGGTGCTCGCAACCAAGCACTAGATTTTTTATTTTTTTTACTGGCCAGGTTGCTGGCACCATTGGTGGCAAGTAAGAATCTGCAGGTGTTGTCACAGTTTACTGTATTCGGGGAGTTAGAGAGGGGGACACGGGGAATTTTTAAAATTCTTTAACTTTTTCTTTAGGGCAGCCCTGTATTCATTAATATGTCCTTAAATGTATTTTTACAAGCATGCCGGACTTGCATTAGCCCTTACAGCAGAGCATACAATAGGAGAGAGAGAAGCAGCACAAGGAGAGTAATCAGCGGTGCTCCAGTGCTCATGTGCTAACAAGGAACATGCTGATGGAAAGAGAAATCAGAGTGACAGAAAGCAGCTCCTCAGTCTGCTGCTTCTACATCACTGCCCAGTCACTCGCTGGGGACGGGACAAAACCTTTAAAAGGAGAACTATGAGGTGAGTGCTCTTCACTCAGCCTCATAGTTCTAGCCGACCTGTGACAATGAGACTGTCACAGGTCGGCTCAGTAGATCGGGAGGTGAGCGAACACATACCGGTGTTCGTTCACTTCTCGATCCTGTCACGCCTCTCTGACGGAACGGACGGGGAGGGGGCGGGTACAGCTGGCTCTGCCTCTAGGGAGGGGGCCGGTACAGCTGGCTCTACCTCGAGATCCGCTAAGCGGATCTCGACGTCCATGTCGGGATCCGCTCCGGCTGCGGCGTCTCAGTATACCGCGAGCTGTAGCTCGCGGTATACTGAGCTTAGGGTAACGGGAAGACGCTAGTTTGTGTCCTCCTGTTACCCTAAGGAGAACTATGGGGAAAAACACTGACCCCATAGTTCTCCTTTAATTGTTACCCTAGTGCAGCAGAGAAAAATCAGGTCTGCTGCCCTACCAGACAGGGCTGTACTGTGCAAATCTCAGAAGTGGATGGACAGAAAGTAGAAAATCTTTTTGCAGGTACAACAGCTCCCATGTACTGTATGCATTTCATCTGTGTATAAAACGTACTAAGAGAAGAACAAAAGGTTGTCATCTGATTTTGTAGACATAAGGGCCAAAGAGCACATATAAAAAACAATTTTCTTTTAGTTCATTTTTTAAAGTTCTACCCATTTATAAAACCAACTTCTCTGTTTATTTTAGCCCCATTTTACCAACTTTCTGAGATACGAAAGAGGGACACACTCAACACAAAGCATGTAAGCAAAGGACATACCCCGTCCTATCCCCCCCATCCCACCCCCCATCATGGCCCACAAAGAATTAATACGCAAAAATGACTAATTAACCCAACACATGTATTTTTCCACCAATCCCCTTTATTACTGGCTTTTCAAAACACCAAATGCAATCATTTAAAGAGGAATGGAAGGTTAAGTGCAGTATAAGGCCTCAGTCACACTCGCAGTCACGCATTTAGAGGACATTGCAAGAAATGCGCATGATTATTTTTAATGGTATAATTCAAGTTTCTGAAAAATTCTGTTAAAATAAGGGCAACTGAATTGAGTTTTGGATGCAGTGGAAAGGGAATAGAATACCTGTCAGGTTCGTATTACTGACTGCTTCCCCGTTGGGGAGATTCACCCATTCTCTTTGTCCTGGTGACCGTTATCACTGAAAGTGAAACAAAATCCCTAATTTTGGAATTGTCACCAAAACAGGAATAGATTGGAAATCTTCACTAGTTCTGGGGGATCCTCCAGACCACCAGGGGTTTCGTTTCACATCCTGCTGTGGCCATCGGACAGGAAGTGAATGGAAATCTCCACAAAAGGGGGGGGGGAGGAGCTAAACCTCCCTTACCCTATCCAAAAAAATTCTGTGGATTACTTTTATTATTAATGGGTCAAAAAGAAGTGGTGACTTTTAATACACCAAAAATGTAGACAATAATTTAATTTACACAATAATTTATGCCACCCTAGAGCTGACAAATCTATGATTCGCAATGGAAGCAAACTGCAGATAAAGCTTTTCTTAAAGTGACACTAAACTCAGGAGTTAAATCTTTAAAATACACCCAAAAACCTTAATTATTAACAAAAATGTATCTTATTTGTGTATCACTCGGCTGTAGATCCTCCAATCATCTCTGAATTGGTGCCGACACTGCCCTTCCTTCTGGAGGGGGGCTACTTTTGTTCCCCATGGTCCCTGTGTGTGTTGTAAAGTAGTCACCGCCCCAAGCTCGCTCCCGCAATGGACTACCATCTCAATACAAATTAGTAAACTAAACTGCTGTCTGACTGTTTTCTATTTCCCCCCCCCCGATCTATAGTTTCCTTCAAAGTTGCAATCTTCTATTATTAACTTTAATAAACTAGAGGAAAATGAGGCTGCGGTTCTCCATAAGAAAACACAGTTATTTGGCAGATCTTTATTGATAGTCCCCAAGAAACAGTCGATTGGCTTGGAGGTAGAAATGCACTACAACACTGCCACCTACAGCCATAAGAAAGAAAGTACAACTTTACCAACACGTAATTTGTTTTTTTTTGTATTTATACAATGATGAAGTCCGCAGCAGTTCATGGGGTACACACGAACCATTCACAGCAACCTCTGGCCCAAGGGACTTATGATACCTATTATAATACAATTCCCAGGGCAGTCACATGAACACATACACTATGTATGTATGTATGTATGTCAGATTGGGACCTTAGATTGTAAGCTCCTTGAGGGCAGGGACTGATGTGAATGTGCACTACATAAAACACTGCGTGAATTGTCGGCGCTATATAAATACCTGTGATAAATAATAATAATAACCTAGGAGTAGGCAACCTCGGTGCTCCAGCTGTGGCTAAACTACCAATCACATCAGGCTCTGCCTCTGGGAGTCATTCTTGTGGCCGTCAGAGTCTTGCAATGCCTCGTGGCACTTGTAGTTCCACAACAGCTGGAGTGCCGAGGTTGTCTATCCCTGCTATAACATGTCTACTATCCCATGAGGACTAGACTGCAAGGTCTTCAAAGTTACAGAATTATTACATTCGTTTTTTAGTGTAGAAGTGATGAATTAACAAAAGGAATCGGAGACATCTGGGAGCTGTCATTTCCAACTTGTTGGTATCTGGTTGGATTCAGCCTCCATTGCTCCTCTGCTTTACACAGGATTATCACCTCAGATAATTAACATTCATTTTTAGATTAGTTAATGTCCTGGAGGTAAGCCCGGAGACATAATAGACATCGTACGCCAAAGTTGGTGAGCTTTACAATGTTTTTCATTTCAATAAGCTATTACCATGATGACTGTATGCACACACTGAGCCTTCTATTACACAAAGGTGCTTATTTGGGTCCGTGACTCATCAAGTAATGAAGCAAGGACGAGGATGACCGCTTAGAGCCTGGCCAAAATAAGTCAGCGATGGCTGCACCTATAGCTTCACTTTAAAGCAGTACTAAAAGCTATGCATTAAAGTAAAAATGCCCCAGTACCTTTCCATGCCTGCCTCTCCCTAAACACTCACCTACGGTCCATGTACCTTTCCATGCCTACCTCTACCTAAACACTCACCTACGGTCCATGTACCTTTCCATGCCTGCCTCTCCCTAAACACTCACCTACGGCCCATGTACCTTTCCATGCCTGCCTCTCTCTAAACACTCCCTACGGTCCATGTTCACAGACGCCAGCTTCAAGACGATCTGCTGTGGCGCTTCCTTGAACTTCTGGGTTGTAGAGGATGGGACTGCTGTAGGGAGGGAGTAGGGCTGTGACTTGCTAAGCACTGTGTGTATCAATGTGGTCACATGGCTCGGATCAGGTCCCCAGCCAGGAACACGCATGCATGGGTGTCTTATTTGCAGCCTGCTAGGTAAAGGATCCAAGAGTGACCGTGGCTGAGGAGCTGGATCACAAACCTTTTCTAGTCAAGTAAAGCATACCAATGCTGAACTGCTGGTATGGATATTTCCACACTGAGGATTTCAATCCTGCCTCAGAAATAGGATTGTATGCAGGGGCTGTTGTCCTTGTCCAGTGTCCTGTTGGTGTTCATTGCTGATGAAAGGGGATTTCTGACTTCCAAAACACGTTGGCTGTGCATATCTTCTTGACGTCATTTGTGAAATCATTAATAGGGACATTTTTAAAGAAGAGTACGTATGAATACCCTGTCCTGAATTTTTTTTAAGTATTTATGTTCCCCAGTCCCATCTAGTGGCCATAATGTAACACATTTTGAATCCAGGTACACCTAGGTACCATCAATGGAAAAGTGGCCCTAAAGAGTAAAATATATATATATATTATTTGTAGTCCTTACACTAAATGTCACTTTCTTGGTTTGGATTTAGTAGTCCTGAAAAAGAACATATGTATCTAGATCTCTTTCTGAACCTGACAGGTGATATAAACCTTCCTCCTTTAAATCCAACACAAAAAAAATGTTCCCCCTTTTTCATTTTTGTACATAAACACACAACTTCCTTACTTGGATAATAGTGTCCTGAGCATAAATTACATCCTTACACCTTAAAGAGACCCTGTCACCGTTCAAACAACAATCTTTCAGTAAGTTTATTAGTGCATTTAATGTAGGTTATTAACTTGTAAAAGTCTCCCTTGTGTAGACATCCAAAAGCCTTGAGACTCCTGCTGGTTGCCGCCATCTTGGAAGTGATGTCAGGACTAGGTTGGACTCACGCAATAGGTTGGACTTGATGGACCTATGTCTTTATTAAACCTCAAATACTATGTAACTAAGGAGCCCCAACAGACTCAGAGCTGTCATTAAAGTGACAATTTATAGTAGTATTCTGCTTCGCTTCTCCACTAGAAGCTACAAAAAAGCTTATGTAGGGAGGTGGGGGATAGAGGAGCTGGGCTAGCACAAAGACACTCCAAGTAAAGGAGTGCAAGGAGGGAGGGGGCTGTGCTAGGGAACTAACTAGTTAACTGTTCTCGCAAATTCAGAGGAACATTGCTAGTGATTAAAACAATTGTTTTTTTAAAGCAGGGGTAGCCAAACTCCGGCCCCCCAACTGTGGTGAAACTACAAATCACATAATGCATCTCTCTCCAGGATGTCTGTGGTTGTGAGAATCTTGCAATGCCTCATGGGATTTGTAGTTCCACCGCAGCTGGAGGGCCGAAATTTGGCTACCCCTGATTTGAAGGGGAAAAAATGCAAATTAGCATTTAAGATACTTGATTTTTCTGTGCTTTTACCTGAATTTTTTGAGCTGTTTACAGGTCTCTGAATATTACTTATTATCATCACATCTACTTGTAGCACAAAGCTGCAGTCACTAGATGGCGATCTCCTACTGCAGAAGACTAGACATCTAAACCACAAGTGCTCCACTTTTAGTTCTAGGAGCCTTTAATAGGGTTCAGTAAAACCTTTCATGTTACACCTCGAAAAATAAATGCATCATATGAGGAACATGTAGTCTCCTATAGCTCGTGCATCTTAAAACACTGGTTGCCTGGCTTTCTTGCTTCAGTACACCGAGTTGTTAATTGCTTTGGTTTATCTAACTTTTCTGTTTTTCTCATCCACGAAATCGATAGGTGTATACTGAAAGAGTGTTAAAGCCATTGGTCAGCAGGATAGCCGGGCAACCAGCATTTTCAGGAGAGCAGCACTGGTATTTTCCTCAAGAAAGATTTACGGCAAATAATGATGTGAAGGCTGAAATACAAGTTCAAAACTGTAAGTGATGTACGGTATTGCAACCTACAGTATATTGCATCTGCGCTGTATATATGCAACCTATACACACTGCACTACATAAAAGTACGTACCATCGGACCAGGCAATGAGCAATTGCGGGGAAGTCATTGTTCGTGCACAGAAGATCTTGCATGCACACAGGTAGGGAATCTAGTAAAAGAAAAGAAAAAAAAGAAGTCAGCAGATAATCAATTTTAATACAATTCAGGTTACATTATAGTAGGGGTCAGCAACCTGAAGCATGCGTGCCATGATGGCCATTTTCAGTGGCACCCAGAAGATCGATAGTCATAAGTCTACAAAATTATTATTTTATATTTCTAATCAAAACATAACTGCAGTAACCTTTGTTAAATATCATCTCGTCTGTGTTGTGGTGAGTTTATCAGAGAAATTCTTCTGTTAGATAAGAACGTCTCTGTATTGGCAGCCACACTGTATGTATGAACAGATTTTTCACATCTGAAGGCTTCCGTTAAGTCCATTTTAAAGCAAACTTACAACAGTTAATTCAGAAGTGTGTGTGCAGCTAAAATTACCGTCCTACATGCCAAACATAACACACAGGACAGAACTAAAGCAGGGATCACGGTGAAACTAAAGCTGGCCATAAAACAGTTACATTGGCATGAGTCCTTCTGACTTAGCCCAAATTTGACCAGTGTGTGTGGTCCTGTTGGAACGCCCCCGTTCATCAAAAGTCATTTTTTTCAATTGACTTATGTTGAAGGAGCCAGTCTGCAAAATTCTCAGCCAAATAGGTACTGCAGCTAATAAGCTGAAGTCCCTGTTTGGGGGTTTCTGACCAGGACACGCCCACCACTGTCAAAATACAGTAGACCTGTAGGAAGGATTCCCCCATCTACTTTCACTGGCCCCTATGTCAATAGTGTATCCTGTAGAGACATAGTACAAAAGTCCAAAGACCTGTAGCACTCCTTAACGGAACTCCCAAGTGTATATTGAGGGTGCTCGCAGTGACCGCGGAGGGCGCCGCATTCAGCATAATCAAGTATAGGAACGTCACCAGCACACCACCACGACAAAGACTTCAATGTCAGTGAAAATCCATTTATTGATGTCAATCAATACTCAGAGTGTCATCAATCGCTTACGGAGTAAACATCCCTGATGAAGGGGACCCTGCGCGGCCCCAAAAGCTCTTGATGACACTGAGTATTGATTGGCACCAATAAATGGATTTTCACTGACATTGAAGTCTTTGTCGTGCTGGTGATGTTCCTATACCTGAAGAGACATAGGGGCAGAACCCTACACACTGGGACGTGTGGCAGATGTCAAGATTCTGCCAGCAAATCCTCAGTAAAGAATAACAATCAGCAGTGGGACAGACTCGTATGAATTCTCTTCTTTAGCAGGTTATTTTTGTCATTTTTACACCAGCAACAAATCGTCCAATCACATAGATAGCTGCACTATACTGTTGTTGCTGAATTGCTCCAATCAAACCGGAAACAAAATCTGACTTTATGCTTATCAGCTGAGTGTTTTTAGGAGGAAAACACAGACTCCAATTCATACACAAAGCCAAGCGTTTCTTTACCTTCTCCTCCATCTTCCTTCTCTTCCTTTTCAGCGGACTCCTGTACCAAATAGTGGTGCTTGATACCGAATTTGAAGTCTGCAAATGAAATGTCCTCTCCTTTCTCTTCCCACACTCCATTGGTATACTCTCCCTGCAAAACAAATTATGGTCAGAGTTTTATGAGATGTGGATACTGAGCTGCTGAAAGTATGCAATACTGCAAGAAAAAAAAAATCCTGGCACTTTAAAAATCCATATATAAATGGGATGCTGTAACGGCCACTACAGGGCCCCTCTTTCCCATTACTTAACCCTACCTCCATTACTTAAATTCCCTATTTCTTTTTCCTCGCTTCCCTTTGGCCGAGAGTCCCACCTCCCCTCCAATACCCTATGTTTTGCTCCCCCCTTCCCCACCTCCCTGCTCCCCTACAATCTCTTAATATCCACAATCTCCCCTTACTCATCTTGTATCGCTGTTCACCCCACCTTGGCGAGGACATCAATATTAGTTGGGAGTGACAACACTTAATTGTTTTGTATCTTTGACTACTGTTACCTGTGGATCAGTATACCATGAGTATACTGATCCACACTCTATATCTACAGTGTGTGTATGTATGTATTCCCTCTAACAGATCGTTCTACCATTGTGCCTGAATAAATTATGTTCTCTTCAGTGTCCTGTTTAATATATAGAATGTTTCACAATTATATCTGAAATGACAGATTTACCTTCTCTGGGGTCTTCTTAGCAGACTCTCCAATTAGTTTCCAATCATTCAAGACTTCTTCCACTTTTGAAATAAACCTGAATAGAAGCAGACGTATGATTACATTTCCGTCTTCATATTTATGTTAAGACAACAAATGCTTAAAGTGACATTAAGGGCCTGTTCACATGAGGATCAGGTGCAGATCTGCAGACGCGGTGCTATGTGTTTTTGCCGCGTTTTTGATGCGTTCCAGTTAAAAAAAAAATATTATATATATA